GTCGAAAGGGGGGGACGGGGGGGGGGGGATCCATTGTCATTTTTTTCTGACACGGTCCAGACTTACAACCACCAAATTCTATCTTTATCAACTGTGTGCATCACAGAATAGTACTGACCAAAGCCAAGAGCCAGTTGTGTCTGTGCATGTGTATAGTCATGTTTCATATCAATAGTTTGCTTATTTCGTTTGATCACCAGGACAATCAGTGAAAGGGACTCTGCTTCGTTACGATCATAGCAATCCTCATGAACAGAGCAGCACTGTCCATGTCAAAAACATCCAGACTCACTGGTAGTTTAGCCTCATTGACTGTATTGACTGGAGGCTGATCCCAGCTATTACTGCGGTGCCAAATTAACCTCTCTGAACTGACTGTGCATTTCACTTTAACAGAGATGCCATAATGCTTTCAAAGGACAGTGGTGATTTATTTTATAGCTCTGTATAGCAGTTAATGGGCTTACGTTTACCATCCTACCTAAATATTACAAGCGTTTTTTTAAATGTATCTAGAGAGATTTAGTTTTAATTGAATAGCTTCCTTGTGCTGTTGTTACTTAGACACAAAACACTTAATTCATTCAGAAAACAGTGCTCACTGATAGATGCAATTCTAAACATTTGAAATGAAAAGTGTGCATAGAGCCCATATCAGATTAGCACTAAAACAGAATCTACATGCACAAGAGTGCATTTGTGTGTTTAAAAAGAGAACAGCTGTGGGTAGCAGCTCATTTGCACGGTCCATCAACAGAAAGAAACCAAAGTGAAGAAAAATGACCACTCACTTGAGCAAAATGAGAGATATACACAGGATCAGTGGTTTTCAAGTGGTGGGTTGCAGGTCTGTTATGATCGGGAATGGAGGGACAAAACAAAATTGTGTAGTTAAGACAGAATCTTCCTGCAAAAATAACATTGTCAGATAACAGCACTGTCTGATGACATTTCTAAAATGCAGATTAACACATACCTCTGACTGTACATTCTGTATTCATGCACCATTCTGAATTAATTTAAATAGCCCAGTCGTTGTATTGGATTATAAAAGCAATAATTGTGCTTTTATAAGCAGAATCACTGTATCACATGTGACTTATTGCTTCATTTCCCATTCAGCCTATGTCATGCTTATTAATTTTGCATATTGTTTGGCCCTATTAATTGTGGCAGGGTCAAGGAGTCTCAGGAAGTGGGTTCATGTATATAGTATATTGTATTATTAAGAATGTTATTCTACCTGCTCTTGGGTCTTCTTGCTTTTCTTGTGTCACTTAGAAAACACTTGTCAATCAACATTAGAGTGCCATCCTCAGGCTGAGTTACACAAGGACAACCGATCTCTGCTAAAAGTGCGTATGTGTGTGTACAGTGATTACAATGTACAAGACAAGTGATTAATCATCAGAAGTTGACTGTTCACACTTCACAGTAGCTATGATGTTCTGTGTCAGTAGGTCAATATAATTATTGATTCCTTATACATAGATTCTCTCTCATTTAATGAAGCCTACATTTGATTAGTCCTGATGAGCATCATGCATACAGTGCACAACATAACGTAAACACAAATGGCCTAATGTTAGCCGCAAATTCCTGTCATAACCCCTAACAGCAGTGAAAGGCTTAAACCTGCTCTCTCCTCTGTCTCTCTCTGTGTTTTGATTTGTTGGTTTGTTTGTTTTTCATTTTGTTCGCAGTGGGAAAAGGACGCCAGAGAGGAACTAAGTGAAAAACTTCAGCAAGCTGAGGCTTTCCTGAGGAGAGCAGAGACTGAAATCAAAGAGAGAGACGCCAGGGCCAAGGCCTGCGAGGCCACCTGCAAAGTTCCCGGGCTGAAGTCAGTGCCCTGGCCCAACAAAGAGACTATTTAAAAGATGAACTTGATACGGTTCACCGAGAGCTTAAATATGCGTATAGACTGCAAAGTGACTCTGAAAGGGAAATGCACACCACAGAATTTCCCCTAACCAGCAGATTGATACCTCCTAGTCAAGGGTTTCCAGTTCAAAAGGGGGGTGAGAGCCCACTGCTCAAGACATCACCTGCCAGCATCCCTGAACCCCCAGCAGCAGCAAGGGGGTGGGAGCCTTTTCAAAGGCTGTCTTCCAGTCACGGCGTGTCACCTAAAGAATTGGATAAGCTGGCTAGAAACATTCCCACTTTCACTCCAAACCCTGCAGGAGGCCACGATGTGCACGCCTACTTAAAAGACATTGACTTTCACTTGCAAACTGTTGCCAATGTTACCACGCGAGACAGACTCTATCTGCTCCGAATCACCGCCAGCCGTGAGGTGAGGAGCTTTCTAGACCGGCAGCCAGAAACGGTCGAAGTGGATTACCAGCAACTGCAGCAGGCTCTAATTAAGGAGTTCTCTGACCCAGAGTCAGAGCAAGGACTGATTACTGCCATGGACCTTAAACAGGGCAGACAGGAAACCACACAGGCTTACTACAACAGGCTCAGACAGGCCTACTTCGGAGCACGGAACGAGCCAGGAATGGAACAGGATTTCAACTT